TACATGTTCTGACTAGCTAAATCCCCTCATTGTAAAGCTCTGGCCCAGCTAACATCTCTCATTCTCTTGTTCCTCTGAAAGGTAAAATCCCTCACCTTTGTGTATTTAAGAAGCTCTCCTCTCAGTTGTTTTCCCCTCAGTTTAGTATCCACCTATTTCATACCCCCTACCCTTACAAACCCTTACATACCATTACATACCATCCCCTTACATTGAAATATCAGCTAGAATCACTCTCTCACTCTCAAATCAACCTTTAGACCCTTATAAAAATGAGTTAAACCCTTTGTCCACCTGTTAAGCCACAGTTATCTTTTGATACACTCCACCATCACTTTATTAAACCTTCCAATCTGAGATTGGTGGGCTTGTCTAGTGTCTAGTGATCCAGGAAAGGCAGAGGTATCCTCATTCATCCCTTTCCACACTCAGCAAAAGGTTTTCACAAACACTTTTGAGCTTTACACCGCACCCGCCCAAACAAACCAGCCAAAGCTTTGGCCCCAACGCACCCTCTCCACCACACCAACCAGGGTTTAGGGGTCAATGAAGTAAAAGACCCCCATGGAAACGGCCGGGAGGATTTGTCCTGGCCCCTGAGATTTCACTCTTGAAGTCCGAGACGGTTCCTCTTGGTTGTCAAGGGTGCATATCTTGATGGACATGGATTTTTGACGGAAAAAATTGTGGGAACTGGAATTCAACTTAGAGCACTGCCAAGACTTGGTTGACAAATTCAACAATAGGGGGTATCAAATATAGGAAATCTACCATTAGAAACCAGTCACTTTTCTCAAAACTTTTTTTTGCATCAATGGGCCCCAAAAGGGGTTAAATCAATAACCAAAATGTTTAAAAAAGGGTGGTTCTTTTTCAAACCAGTCAATGAAATAATGGTGGATTTAGTTATATTTGATACCCCCTAATAAATTTCTGGAGGCGGCATCAAGACACAAAGAAGAAAGAAGTGAGAGGGAAAGCTTTTCACCAGTTGGTTTTTTAATGCTGCCTGGGGACAGAATGCAGAGCCAAAAGAAGAGGGATTTTATCTTTAATCTTATATTAGATTTTTTTAATTGTTGGTACTGTGGATACACAAAAGGGGGAGGCTTTGGCATTAATAAGGAGGAATATTCTTATGGTCTGCTGGAGTTGTAGCCTGGACTTCAACATATGGACACAGCTGTTTACATAAATGTCACAAATACCCAACTTGGAGTCCATTCAAGACTCACACCTTGTGTATTCCTCATCTTGCAATCTACCATCAAGAACCAGAACCCAGAAGATCCTCACCTACTCTCCCCAGAACACCCATAAAAGAAACCAGGGACTGAAACAATGGATGAGGTCAAGAGTCATGAGAGTTGATGAGAAATATATGATATTTATTCAGTCAGAGAAGAGGTTTGAGGGACAGTCTGGTAACTCAGTGGTAGTGGGAGACTAGTAACTCAGTGGTAGTGGAAGACTAGATCCAAAACACCTAATTCCCTTAAAACTGGAAATTTTGGCAATAGTTTTGTTACGTAGTATGAAGGGTACCGGAACCGACATAGGTCGGTTCTGGCCTGGCGGGTTGATTAAGCGAGGGGCGGGCGGTTTGACCCGCCCCTCGAAATGCTCCAAAAAAAATCAGCATTCATGCAGAGGGGTGTGCAACAATCCCCGCCCCTCTCTTTTGGGCGGGGATGCTATGTACACAACCCTAAATTAGGCTGATGTAAGCAAGACACTCTGGAGTGTTTTGCTTACATCAGCCTTCCTATGGCCATGGAGACTACGCTCTCCATGGCCATAGTAAATGTACATCCGGCCAGGAGGGGGAGAAACCTCCTGGCCCACAGTTGACGGTTGGGAGGAAACCTCCCAGCCGTCAAGACT